GCGGGTGCTGCTAGGTAGGAGAAAACCCTTGGGAAATTTATTGAGAAACAACCACATGTGACTTGAATGACTACGGGAAGGGACTCTGATCTGAGGAGAGAGAGAGAAAGGAGGAGAATGCAAAAGGCGCTGCTGATGCTCAACAGAAAACCCGGCCAAAGAGACCAAGGAGCAGACCAACAGGCGTTGGAGACATGAAAACACAGACCTGGGCAGAGTCACTAAGAGACAGGAGTGCGGAGACGAGAGCAACGTGGGAGCTGTCTCCATGTAAGGCTAGACTCTGGGGGAGCTGCAGAGGGGCCCTCGGAGGGCGCTTTGCAAGGGGCAGGGGGTTCTATGTGCACTTGGACGTTTCAGGGGAACGGGGTTCGGTGCCCAGGGGACTTGCCACACACTGGACGCTCCCTAATCCTGGCAAAGGCACCTGAGCCTGCACCCCACACGTACCTGCGGGCAGCTGCTGATGGGGGCGCACTGCTTCTTGCGACACTCGGCCTTGCCTTTCACACACGCACAGATGGTGCAGTTCACGGAAGACCACATCTCTCCGTCCTGGGGGAGAGAGCACAGGGTTCTGCCATCAGGGGGTGCTGTGGGGAGCTGGGCAAGCAGGCTGGACTCTATCACGGGAAGCCTTTCTTAATGAGTGATGGATGCTATCATTAGATTACACAACTCTGAGGTATCTATTGCACCTACCTGGTTTAATGTAAGATCAGATTTAAGGGGTGTGCGCATGCGTGTGCGCCTATGTGTGTCCCTGTGTGTGCGTGTGTGTGTTTCTCTGTGTGTGCATGTGTGTGTGTGTTCCTTTCCAGGATATAAAAAGAATTCTTGGGCAGCTAAGTCCTATTTGCATCTTGCTCCTCCTGCACTAGGAGACAAACAGGAATTTCATACATGATATCATAACAAAGGTCTAATTTTTCCCATTTGATGAGACGGATATGTTCCAAGCTGAGCCAGGCACCAGCCATTAATTGACATGTCCGCAGGTGGTTAGTTTATTCCCAGATGGGACATGGTTCTGGACCATATCGGGCACAAACATGCCAAGGACAGAGGCTAATTCAAACGACTCATACTTCCCAGGCAGACACCTGGCCGGGAAGCCATCTGAAAGCGAAGGGTCTGTCCAAACGCTGGGAGCCACTCATGCGTGTCCCTGCCTGACAGGCGCTCTGCTCCCTACAAGCTGGGAAGCACTCGGGGGCACATTTTCTCGCTGCTTGAGGAATTGCTTGGGCTCACTGGACTTATGACCCGTCATTGCCAAGTGCCCAGCCACAGGAACCCTCGTGCCTCCGGAGAACAGGCAGGGATGGGCACCTTTGCTTTTGGGAAAAGAGATTATAGGCAATCAAGCTGGGCCTGAAAACAAACCAGGACTCCTTCCTGAGGGTCTCAGCAGCAAATGTTGTTAAAAACAGAGACACCAGCTCAGGTCTGCGAGGTTGACTGCACCTCTTCCTCTCCCTTCTCACTCTTTGGAGCTGTTTCAAGAACTGCCTCCTCTCCAGTGCCTTTACTTCTCAGGAGAGGAAGACCCGACTGAATCTGTCTAAGGGCCTCTGACTATTCCATACTCTGAGCGTGTTCCTGGACCTCTGTTTCCAGGATGACCCCTGTCTGGGATTCCTGCCTCAGTTCACATAAAGGAACCTCATCAGAAGGGGCCTGGAAAGCACTTGGCACACAGCACCATCACAAGGGGGAGTCGGTTGCGTCGGGGGCTCCGGGGCGGGGTGACTGTGTGCAGAGAGGACCCAAGAGCTCTGGGCGCCTGGTGCCAGTACCACACACATAAGACCCCTTCCCTCGGGCACGACATGCCGTATATTCTTGATTCCCTAAGAACCAGGGTTCCCCTCCGATCCCGCAGTGTAACAGGAGGCCAGGCTCAGTGCAGCCTGCAGGAGGAGCTCCCCATCTGCTTGGTTCTCGGGGTCTCAGTTCTCAGGGGATCACGAAAAGACCTTCGGGGACAGAGGGACTCCTCCACCCCTGGGGAACAAGGACAAGATGGGAAGGACTTCGGACAAAGTCGACAATCTTCATCCTGATATTTAAATAGTCGCTGCCCAGCCCTGTGGGTGTGGCTCAGTGGGTTGGAGCATCCTCTTGTACACCAGAAGGCCATGGGCTCCATTCCCAGTCAGGGCACATGCCCAGGTTGGGAGTTCAATCCCCAGTAGGTATGGGAGGAATGGGAGGCAATCGATCAATGTTTCTCTCTCACCCTTCCTCCGTCTCTCTAAAAAAATCAACAAAAACATATG